GAGGAGGTCCAGCCAGGACCACGGCGTTCAGGCCGACTTCGGAGGCCGCCTGACTACTTCGTCCCCGCTGCCTTCACCACGGTGTACGACGTGGACGATGAGGCCGACGACCTGCTGTACGATGATGCCAAGGAGGATGAGGAGTTTCCAGAGCTCGACCCCGACATGCTAGCCGACCCCGAGCACCGTTGGGACATCTCGACGATGACGGTGAAGGAGGCGTTGGCGAGCTGGAAGGGCCCAGCGGTGAAGGCCGCCATGGAGGAGGAGATTCGCAGCCTCCTCAACATGGGAACGTGGGAGCTGGTCGAACGCCCGCCGGGAGTGAACGTCATGAAGAACCGGTGGGTGTTGACGACGAAGTACCACGTCGACGACACCGTCGAGCGCGAGAAGGCGAGGCTGGTCGTGAAGGGTTCCACACAGGTGTACGGCGCCGACTACGACGAGACGTTCGCGCCGGTGGGCAGCTACGTCACGCTGAGGATCTTCCTCAGCATCGTCGCCATCCTCGACCTTAACCTGATGCAGCTCGACATGAAGAACGCCTTCCTGCAGAGCAAGCTCGATCGGATGCTGTACATGTCCCAGCCGGACTACTTCAACGACGGATCCGGCCGGGTGTGCAAGCTGCTGAAGAGCCTGTACGGGCTGAAGCAGTCGCCGCTGTTGTGGTACTTGGCGCTCAACGATGTGCAGGTCGGCGCCGGGTGGAAGAAGAGCCAGGTCGACGAGGCTCTCTACTTCAAGGACGGAATGGACGGAGTGGCCTGCTGGGTGCTGGTCTACGTCGACGACCTACTTGCCGCCAGCAGCAGCGCCGCGATGCTGAAGGAGCTGAAGGAGCTGCTGGAAGCCGCCTTCAAGCTGCGCGAGATCTCGCCGGTGCAGAAGTACCTCGGGCTGGAGATCGTGCGCGACAGGTCGGCGGGGAAGTTGTGGCTGCACCAGCAGGGCTATACCGGCAGGCTGCGTAGGCACTTCATCAACGAGGAGCAGACCGGGCGCACCCCGAAAACGCCGGTCTTGGTCGACGCCTACGCCGAGCTCACCTTCGATGACGAGGAGGCGCAGGAACGCCAGGAAGAGGAGTACCGGCAGAAGGTCGGCTCGTTGCAGTTCGCGGCGACAACGACGAGGCTGGACATCGCCTTTGCCTGCAGCAAGCCGGGGAGCGGCCTCACGGTGAGGAGTGACCAGCACTGGCGCGAGGTCGACCGCTACCTCGCCTACCTCACCAACACACGCGACACCGCCCTGGAGTTCGGCGGTGGACCTGAGTCGCTCGAGCTGGTCGGCTACGTGGACGCCGATGATGCCGGTGACAAGCAGAACAGGACGAGCACGGGTGGGTACGTGTTTGTCTACGGTGGGGCCGTAGTCTCTTGGTCGAGCCAGCGCATCAAGTGCGCGACGCTGTCGTCGACCGAGTCGGAGTACGTTGCGGCCACTAAAGCTGGCAAGGAAGGACGCCGCCTTCGCTTCCTTCTTGCGGAGTTCTGGCAGCTGGACGCCGGGAAGCCGACTGTCCTGCGAGTGGACAACAAGTCGGCTATCACAGTCGCCGAGGGCATGGGGTTGACGGGCAACCTCAAGCACATGGAGCGGCGACAGGCCTGGCTGCAGCACATGGTGAAGCGCGGGAAGTTCTCGCTGCAGTACATCCCGACCGCTGAGCAGCCAGCCGACTTCGTGACGAAGGCGCTGCACTATCCGGCCTTCAACCGGTGCTCCGTCGCAATCGGCCAGGTGCGCTTGGCCGACGTGGGCGACGGCGATAACGACGTGCAGCAGTAGGTGCCATGCCCTCTTGCATGGCTAGTGCGGTGACCGGCGTGCTGTGTGTTGGGTGCACGCCGACAGGCTATTCTCGGAGCTGTACTGCCGTGTGGGCTGGGTACCCAAGCATGAACGCGGCAGGGGAGTGTCAACGGGAGTTGTGTGTTGGCCCCGTCCTCGCTTGGGCGGAGCCGACATCGTGGTCGGGTGTTAGGGGAGCAGCCGACCTGCAGCAGTGGGCGAGCTGGTTGACGAGGAGGTCGACCTGCACGGGGACCACTGCACGGGCGCTGACTTCAGGGTGGCGCCATCTTCGGGGAGGTCGACTTAGGAGTCGACCCGCGGAGGACGTCAACTTGGTGACGTCAACTTGGGGAAGCCGACTTCGGTGGTCGGCTGATGGACTGCTGGTCGACCTGCGGGTGGTCGACTGGACCTGGTGGTCGACGAAGGAGGGGCCCAAGTCGACCTTGGCTCAGGACGCCGAGCAGTTGGGCGTCGAGTAGCGGGGCGTCAACTTCGTGACGCCGACTTCGGGTGGCCGACGTGGGTGGTCGGCCAACAACTGCGTTGGCCGACTTAGTGCTGGTCGACGTGGAGCTGGTCGACCAGAAGGGACGTCGACCTGGAGGAGGTCGACCGATGGAGGTGGTCGTCGACTTGGGAGGTCGACGGGCACGTACGGGAGCTGCTGGTCGACGTGGTTGCCCGGTCGACCAGGTTACTTGGGTGACGAAGTGCTGCGGAGGAGTGCGACGGTCGCCCAGGCGAAGTTGGCGAGACCGACCTCGGTGGTGGTATCCCGAGGTCGTCATGGCGGATCAGAGGCAGTTGTCAGCTCGAGGTTGACGTGGTGTGTGCGCTGTGCAGGTGACGAGACTCTGCACGCCAATCATCTGCGCGCACGTGCGAAGCGGGTGCACTGCTGTCCTGCGTGAGCAATGCTGGCACACCGTCAACCTGCGACGTTGGCACGCCGTCGACCTTGCCTTGCTGGAGTGCGGTCGACCAAGTCGTGCTGGAACGCGGTCGACCAAGCTGCGCTGGCAGTTGGCCGACCTGAATGCTAGCTCTGATGTAGTCTTGCATTGCCAACTATATTGTATTATTGATGTCATGTTTTCCTAGTGAAACTCTTGCCAATTCTCCCCGTGAACTAGCAAGAAGCGTAAACACAAGGAAATGACAAAGTGAACGAACGCAGAGATCACACGAGCACACGTGCCTAGCCCGTAGTCTAGCTCCCGTTGCAGCAGTTATCTCCGCAGACTCCCCCCGCTGGTCCGCCCTCAGCCCCCGCCCCACATGTAATCAGGGTCCCCGAAAACCAATCTGAGGAACCCTTGGTGATCAGGGTGCCCCAAAACCAATCTAAGGGCAGGCCTACGTCTTAGCCTAACTCACTATCTCAACACACTCTACATTATTTGCATTCCAATTCTGTGTCACACAAAGTACTTTCCAACATTCAAGCACGTACGTTATCTGTCAAAATCCTAGTCACTAGACCATTGGGATATATGGGCTTGTTTGTGTAGAGGATCAGTGCGCCCATAACCCTTTAGGCGAACGCGCCTGTAACCCTTCCCTAGGACGATCGGGCATTTCCAGTGCTGGTCTCTAACACCCCTCCACGTAGGGATTCTCGAGGAGACGGCACAACGTCGACACCGCCTGCATGTGCATACATGGGGATTCGAACTCGAACCTTCGCTCTGATACCATGTCAGAATCTCAATCACTAGACCACTGTGATAAAAATGGCTTGTTTATGTAGCGGGTCAGTGCGTCCATAACCCCCCACACTAACGCGCCCGTAACCCTTCCCTAGGATTATCTGACATTCTCATACTGATCTCTGACACTATCCAATGCTGGCATGCTTTAGCTGATATAATTGAATTCTCATCTCTATTAATTCTTTGCCTATTTCGCTAAGACTTTCTTCGCCAAAGTCTTCCGCTGTGTTTCATCCTCAATATAGTAAACCCCGCTATTCCTTGGTGGATTTAAGCCAGTGGAGCCGTACCGTACGACCATCACCGCCAAAGAAGCTCTCCAGCGATTTATCTACATCGTTGTTTGCTGTTACAAATGTAATTGCATATTAGACTAGCTAGTGTAGTATCACCATGTGTGACTGAGTCAGGGTAATGGTGCGCTGTGCTCTGTCCTGGGTGATCTGCGAGCCAAGGTAGCTGCGCAGTTCACCCAGGTCTGTGCACGTGTGTCTCTTCTGCAGCTCGGACTTCACGTGGGCGAGTCCAGCATGTCAGAACATTATAGTTTATGCTTTTGTGTAGGCTGTAGTGGGGTAGCCCATATGGGGTACAACCCAATTAGGGTTAGTACTTGTACCCAACTGTTTCATAGTTCATTCATTCTCGTTTCAATTCTCACATGGTATCGAGCAGGTTCCCTCGTGCAGCCCTTCCTGGCCCCGACCCGCCGCCCTGCGGCCTCGTCGCGTACCCCGCGGCCATCGCGCCGCCCTTTCCCGGCCCCGATCCGCCGCCCTGCGGCCTCGTCGCCTTCCGAGCAGCCCTCGCACCGCCCTGCGGCCCTCACGCCGCCCTTACCGGCCCCGGCGCCTACCTGCGGCCCCGACGCCTACTTGTGCGGCCCCGGCGCCTACCTGCTGGCCCCGCCACCTACCTGCGGCCCCGCCACCTACCCGCGGCCCCGCCACCTACCTGTGCTGCCCTGGCACCTACCTGCTGGCCCTGCCACCTACCTACGGCCCCGCCACCTACCAGCGGCTTCGCCACCTACCTGCGGCCCCGCCATCTACCCGCGGCCCCGCCACCTACCTGTGCGGCCCCGGCGCCTACCTACGGCCCCGCCACCTGCCTGCGGCCCCGCCACCTACCTGCGGCCCCGCCACCTACCTTTGCGGCCCCGCCGCCTCTTCTCAGCGGCCCCGTCGCTCTCTCAGCGGCCCCGCCGGACCGCCCAGCAGCCGAGCCGCCCAGCAGCTGAGCCGCCCAGCAGCCGAGCCGCCCAGCAGCCGAGCCGCCCAGCAGCCGAGCAGCCGAGCCGCCGAGCTGCCCAGCAGCTGAGCCGCCGAGCCGCCCAGCAGCCGAGCCGCTGAGCCGCCCAGCTGCCGAGCCGCCGAGTCGCCCTGCAGCCGAGTCGCCCAAGCCGCCCTGTCCGGTAAGAGCAGCGCCTCTTTCACAGCACTGCCCTCACCCTACTGTTTGTGCTGCTAGAATACTGCTGTCATGGCTACCCCTAGTGTCCTCGCTTTTGACGCTGAGGGTCGGGCCATTGACTTTGACTTATGGATAGATGACCTGAAGCTTTTCTTACAGTGCGATAGGGCAGACGGTCTCTCCCTCTTTGACCTCACTTCTGGTGCCTCTCCTGCCCCTGCTGCTGATGCTGACGCCACTGTTCGCTCTCAGTGGGCCACGCGCGATGCTGCTGCACGTCTTGCTGTGCGTCGCCACCTGCCTACCTCTGAGCGTGCGCACTTTAGCCAGTACAAGAGTGCTCTGACCGTGTACGCCGCTGTAGTTGCACGCTACTCCTCCCCTGCCACTGCTACACTGAGCCGCCTCATGCTACCGTACCTCTTTCCTGACCTTGGTGCCTTTCCCACAGTCGCTGACCTCATTACGCATCTCCGCACTAGCGACACTCGCTACCACGCTGCGCTTCCTGCTGAGTTCTGCACCAAGAACTCCCCCCCCCATGTACATCACTCTCAACTACATAGTCACCCGCCTCCCTGACTCCCTTCGCGTAGTCAGGGACCACTTCCTCTCAGTCGATCCCACCACTCTCACAGTTGACCTCCTCGAGAAGGCCCTCTTAGCAGCGGAGAAGAGCATAGTCGTTGTAGGAGCATAGTCGTGGTGACCCGCGCACCCCCATCTTTGAGGGGTGTTCCCCCTCCCCCCTTTTGCCCTCTGTTGCCTCTGCTGCTACGGCCGACCTCGTTGGGCTTGAGTCGGTCGGTGCGGCGTCTACCCCTAGCGGGAGACGCCGCCCTGGCAAGGGCAAGGGGGGCACGGGCGCTGGAGGAGCTAGCGGGGGCGGTGGAGGCGGCGGTGGAGGCGGTGGAGGGGGTGGGGGTGGCGGTGGGGGTGGTGGCGGGGGTGGAGGTGTCGGTGGCGGCAGTGGAGGCGGAGGCGGCGGCGGTGGCGGTGGGAGCGGAGGTGGCGGGGGTGGCGGCGGTGGAGGAGGCGGTGGCGGAGGAGGTGGAGCTGGTCGGGGTGGCGCTGCGCAGAGGGTCGGCTCCGGTGGTGGTCAGCGCCGGCTGCAGCAGCAGCCCACTCGTGACATCCCCCCCCCTCAGCAGCTCCGTGAGTGGTACGCTGCACGCCAGCGGGGTGGGGGTACTGGTCCGTGCACCTACGTCCTCCGCACCGGCGACCGCACGGGTGAGCAGTGCGGGGGTGCGCACTCCACCCAGCGTTGCTTTGGCCGCCTGACGTACGCTTGGCGTCACCAGTTCCCTGAGGCCACTGAGATCCCCCGCTGGGGCGAGCTGTCTAGGGCGGGAGTAGCTGGTGAGTCCGCGCTCTCAGGTACCGAGTCGGCTTCCGCCTCCCTCGCCTTCACCCTTGACTCGGGGGCGTCTCGCTCCTTCTTTTGAGACCGCACCACACTCACGCCGCTTGGTCGGCCAGTTGCGGTCTCTCTAGCAGACCCCTCTGGGGGTCCTTGCTCACTTCTCCACTGTCCTTTTGTGTCCGGCGGCTCCGTCTGGCACCCTGTCTGGTCTTTACCTCCCCTCGTTCTCTACGAACTTGGTGAGTGGCGCTGACCTTCAGGATGGGGGAGTTCACAAGTTCACTCCTGCGAGCCAGCGAGTGACCCACTGCACGGACGCTCGGACGGGCCGACACTTGGCCACGTTTACTCGTCGGCCGGGGTCGAGCCTGTACACACTGTCTACTACGTCTCCTTCTTTCCCTGCGTCTGGTCAGGTAGCTGCGTCAGGTAAGGTGTTTGCTGCAGCGTCCAGGTCTGGTCCTGAGTCTGCCCCCTGCTCGTGTCGCCTCCTCTCTCACGAGACTCTCCTTTAGCACCACCGCCTTGGTCACCCCTCCCTGCTTCGTCTCCGAGGCATGGCCTCCCGTGTCCTTGTCTCTGGTCTTCCCCGGTCCCTCCCTCCCCTTCCTCCGGGGCCTGGCCCTACCTCCGTCCCCTGTGTCGAGGGGCGGCAGCGGGCTGCCCCTCACACCTCCCAGTTTCCTCCGACGGAGGCCGCGCTGCAGACGCTTCACATGGACGTGTGGGGCCTGTTATATTCACAATAGGCTCCAATGTGCCTAAAACGAAAGATAGAGTGCACAGTCGGATTTCTGCACAGCGGCTTCAAACGTTCATAGCGTTCTGGTCACAACTCCAAATAACCTGATTCAACTTGGATCTAGAGCGTCTAAACGTCACCTACAATAGGCAATTTAGATCGCACAATTTCACCAAGTATTGACGACACAGTGTCGGTTTGAACGAACGGCACTATGGCAGCCACTATATTCTTAGAACACAAAATAGGAAGAGATATGAAGAGTTACGAGTTGGGAATGACTCCCAGCTCCTACAAACCCCAAGAGCCGAGGTACAGTGATGTGGACAGTGCCACACTGTCCCCAACCACGAAGGGTCTCGAAACTACCCTTCACTAGGGCCTACACCAAGTGAAATGTTACACTACACAAAGTAATGTAACTATCTTCAATATCTTGAGGTGTACCCTTTTGGCGAGCTTCGAAATCACTTGAGGCTTGACACCAAGGCTCGGGCTCTTCATCACAAACTCATCCTTGAGTTCTTGTTGGGTCTGCTGCACACACCTGCGACGCGCCAAACGTTCGACACAGGACAAAATAGAAACCGCGCACGACAAAAATAGAAACCGCGCGCGAGACACAAACGACCGCGTAACACGCGTCTAGCGATAACTCTCTATTGACTCGACACACACACTCGACATCATGACTCAACATTCACACACAATTATAAGCATGAAATATATATTATCCCATGCCCTCATACCATTCCATACACACACACATGCACGCACACGGACAACAAGCCGAGTGCAAACCGTAGGGTTGCACCAACAGGGCCCGGCCCGCGTTCGTGGGCAGGGTCACGAGCGCTACTTCCTGTTGGTGGTTGACGACTACTCGCGTTACACCACAGTCTTCCCCTTGCGCAGCAAGGGTGATGTCACTGAGGTGCTGATCGACTGGATCCGCGCAGCTCGTCTCCAGCTCAGGCAGAGCTTCGGCTCGGACTTTCCTGTTCTGCGTCTGCACTCTGACAGAGGCGGAGAGTTCTCCTCTGGCCTTCTGCGAGCCTACTGTCGTGCAGGAGGCATCCGCCAGACCTTCACGCTTCCGGAATCTCCACAGCAAAATGGGATTGCTGAGCGCTGCATTGGCATAGTCATGGACGTCGCCCGTACGTCCATGATGCATGCGGCTGCCCCCCATTTTCTGTGGCCGTTTGCGGTTCGGTACGCGGCGCATCAGATCAACCTTCAGCCCAGGGTCTCCAGGCCGGAGACCTCCCCAGCCTTGCTGTGGATAGGGAAGGTTGGCGATGCGTCTGCGTTCCGTGTCTGGGGATCTCGGGCGTTTGTCCGTGACTTGTCTGCGTACAAGCTGTCCCCTCGTGCTGCTCCCTGCGTCTTCCTGGGTTTTCCCCCTGACGCGCCAGGGTGGCAGTTCTACCACCCCACCTCTCGCCGTGTTCTGTCCTCCCAGGACGTCACGTTTGACGAGTCAGTCCCCTACTACCATCTCTTCCCCTACCGCACTCCGTCCCTCCCCCCGCCGCCGCTCTTCCTTGTACCAGGTCCCCCTCCGGTAGACCCCCTCCCCCCTCAGGGTCCGTCCCCTTTAGGTGTGTCCCAGGTAGACGCAGTCGAGCCTGTCGAGGTCACTGGTGACTCTGGTGCTGCTGAGGGTGCTGAGCCTGGGGGTGCTGACTCTAGGGGTGCTGTGCGTGTGCGTGCTACACCCGGGGGTACTGAGACTGGGGGTGCTGAGCCTGGGGGTACTGAGCTTGGGGGTGCTGAGACTGGGGGTACTGGGCCTGGGGGTGCTGAGCCTGGGGGTACTACGCCTTGGGGTGCTGAGCCTGGGGGTGCTACGACTAGAGGTACTGAGCCTGAGGAAGATGGGCCTGTTTGTGAGGCGTACGGCGGTGCAGGGCCTAGAGGTTCTCCGGGTGCTTCGTCTCGGCGGGAGCCCCTCTCTCCACCGGAGCTGCGCGAGTGGTTTGGCCGACGCTAGAGGCGTACTACTGGAGCTGGGGTTTCTTCGGCTGCTGAGGGTGCTGGTGCTGCCCGTCCCGGAGGTGCTCGTACGGGAGGTACTGGAGCTGCTGGGCCGGCGGGTGCGTCTGGAGCTGGAGCTGCTGCGGGTGTTGGCGCTGAGGCTACTGGTGTCGGTCCTGGTGGCGGTGCTGCTGGAGTTGCTGGAGCTGGAGGTGCTTCTGGCGCTGGTGCTGCCGCTGGGGGTGCTGGTGCTGTCCCTGCTGTGTCTGGAGTCGCCGCGCGGCCTCGGCCGTACTTCGTTCCGCTCCTTCAGCAGGTTCTTGGTCTCCCGCCTTCTACTGGTCCTCCTCCTCCCTTAGAGTGTCCACAGCCTGTCCCGTCACAGTTCGGGTTACAACCGGCCTCCCCGCTGCCTGCTCCTTCTCCCTACACTGGTCCTACTAGAGCTCTTGCTGAGCAACGTGAGCCTGCGTCTCGCCCTACGTCGCCTGTCCGTCCTCCTCGCACTAGTGGTCGTAGTTCGCATGAGCGTCCTCCTCCTGTCCCTGGCACGCACCGGATGTCTCTGCGTCCGTCCACTGCTCCTCCGCGTGCCCCGTTGCCTTCTCCTCCTTAGTCCACTCTTCCTGCTCTTGCCAACCCTGAGTCGGACTCTCTTCGTGCTGCCAGTCCTATTGACACGCGTCTCCTTGCTACTGTCGTCACTGACCCTTCTTTTGAGTCCAGTGCTGCGTCTGCCCTAGTTGCTGAGCTCGTCGACTTTGCCGCTCGCTGTCGTCTAGACTATGCTGCTAGTCTTGTCGCTGAGTTCGAGTCTGTCTGTCCTCCGTCCGTCGGGGGTGAGTGTGCCCTTGGCACGGACGTCCTTGAGGACAGGAAGGAGGAGTTCCAGTGTCTGGCTGCTGCTTCACCTCATCTCGTGTCCATACTGCTTACCCTATAGGGAGACCCGGATGCACTTGACATCCCGACTCCGCGCTCGTACGCGGAGGCGATAGAGGGTCCCTACTCCTCTTAGTGGCAGGCAGCTATGGATGCAGAGATGGCTTCCTGGAAGTCCACAGGCACCTACGTTGACGAGGTTCCCCCACCAGGGGCGAACATCGTCAGTGGCATGTGGATTTTCAGGGTGAAGCGGCCGCCGGGTTCCCCGCCTGTCTCCAAGGCGCGGTATGTGGCTCGTGGCTTCAGTCAGCGGCAGGGAATTGACTACTTTCAGACCTTCTCTCCCACCCCGAAGATGACCACTCTTCGGGTGCTGCTGCACATAGCCGCTCAGCGCGACTATGAGCTACACTCTCTTGACTTCAGCACTGCTTTCTTGCAGGGTAGCCTGCACGAGGAGATCTGGCTGCGCCGCCCACTTGGCTTCACTGAGACTTTTCCTCCTGGCATCCAGTGGAGCCTCCGGCGGCTAGTCTACGGTCTCCGCCAGGCACCGCGTGAGTGGCACGACACACTGAGGACTACGCTAGCGGCTCTTGGGTTTGCTCCCTCTACTGCTGACCCGTCGCTGTTTCTGCGCACGGACACTTCTTTGCCGCTGTTCTACATCCTCGTGTACGTCGACGACTTGGTCTTTGCCACAGCTGACACTGCTGGACTCGCCTACGCGAAGTCCGAGCTGCAGAAGAGACACACGTGCACAGACCTGGGTGAACTGCGCAGCTACCTTGGCTTGCAGATCACCCGGGACAGAGCACAGCGCACCATTACCCTGACTCAGTCACACATGGTGCAGCAGGTCCTTCAGCGCTTCGGCTTCACGTACTCCTCGCCTCAGGCCAAACCTCTGCCTACTCGTCAGTCGCTCTCAGCTCTGCCTTCTGATGAATCCGTAGAGTCGAGTGGCCCGTACTCAGAGCTTGTTGGGTGCCTCATGTACCTGATGACGTGCACACGACCTGACCTTGCATACCCTCTTAGCATCTTGGCACGCTATGTTGCTCCTGGGAGACACCGACCAGAGCACATGGCTGCAGCGACGAGGGTGTTGCGCTACGTGTGCAGTACGTCGGGCATGGGGCTAGTGCTTGGAGGGCGACGTCGAGTAGTCCTCACAGGTCACACTGACGCTTCTTGGGCTGACGACCAGGCTACGCAGCGGTCGTCACAGGGTTACACCTTCAGCCTTGGTTCCGGCTCTGTTTCGTGGCGGGCTACCCGCTCGTCTTCTGTTCTCGGCTTCAGTTGTGA